GAAAACAGACACCCTTCAGCAACCTTGAAGTTTACGCCTAGTTATCTCTGAACTATTGCAGTCACTTGACCAAAGGGATTTTGGGAACTGCACTGGTTCAGCTCCTCCTGCTCTGCTCTCCAAGAATGCCAAACCCTTGGGCATGCAAGATGTAAATTCTTTGGGATTGAACTTGAAGGCTTCATGAGAGGACAGCTTGACCAACTTCATTAGTATCAAAATGCGTTTCCTTTCCTTCAGCTGACATGACTTCCCACCGCAGCACTGACAATGGTGTCCTGGGAAGGAGGGTGCGACAGCTAATACGTATTTACCATGCTGAAACGCCTGTCGTTAGCCTTTCTCTGAATATTACACAGAGGCTTATTACAGGGAAGTTGGGAACCTCGAGCCCAAAGTTGCTTTTAAGCTTACGCTTTTTATCTCTTTAAGTGATGTTCAGGCTTTCCCTGCAATTACTGGCATATTCAGTTCCTTGGTCAAATCAGACTTGTAGCTCAGCATGTTTCTAATATCCACAGATGGGAAAAATAGTGATTGCAAGCTGTTAAGAGCCTTCCTCCCTGAAAAATTAGGTGTTGGGTTGGTTCAAATGGTAAAGGCAAAACCTTTTCTTTCCATGACAATGAGTTTGAGGCACGTAAAGCAAGTCTTGTTCTACAGCAGGTCATGATGGAGCTAGGAAATAAATGGCAGTAGGCATATAGGGAAGGTGCATGGGAGAAAAACTGTTTCACCTACTAGCTGGAGAGGATTTGAGCATGGGGTTCAGTAGCTCTTCAGAAAGTTGCATATCCAGGTAATATATAAAGAAATATGTAGCTGTACACAATATCTACAATTGCAGATATCTCTCTGTAGATAAGTGTTTACTCCTCTTTCAACTCATAATTCTTACCTTTCAGTGTTGTCCCAGCCTCTTGTTTTGGGGAATTACCAGTCTCAACTCAGCTGTTTAATTTTGAACTTGTCTTGTTCTGTTGTTTAAAAGAAAATATTCAATTGACACTCCCAACCTGTTCTTTCTGTACCAGTCATTATTTATATGTGACTGTCCTGGTTCCCTTTTTTTTTTTTTTTAATCCCCTGTAAAGTCAACAGCTCCAAAATTTTCACTCTTTCTGTGGAGGGAAGATTTTCTCTCTCGATTGCAAGTTGCTAGCTGGACAGACACCAAGCTAGAGAGAGAAGAAATGGGGACTCTCTCCTTGTAGGCAGTGACTAAATCAGATTGTTGATTCTAGTGGCGACAGAAATAAGCAATCAGGTTCTCAGCTTAGTCACCCTACATGTTTTGGTTGGAGAAGGAAAACTCTGTTGAAAGGCGCTAAGCTTAATGTGTTTATATGAGGTCTCGTCTGTTTTTTTTTACAATAAGGACCCTTTATCATTCTCTTTTCCCAAAAAACTGGCAAAGTGCTTTTGTCTTTACTGTACTTTTGATTAACTTCAGGTGTATTCACAGAGCTGGTGATGTCTGGATCATGGTGCAGAACACTACTCTTCAGGCCAGACAAGACTTTACATAAAAAGCATCCTTTGACAGTTGTCTGCTGCTTCCAGGAGCACTCCCTTCTTTTCCCATTAATTCATTTGCATTCACTGCTGCTCCTTTATGCCAATTAGCTTTAATTTTTACTATACACACTGACATCAATGGCCAATGAGAACAGCGCGTAGCAGGGTTTTAGTGTGCCTATAAACTACAGAAAATTGTCCTTGGACAAACTCCTGCTTTTAGACTGGCTGACAACAATAGACATGGTTAAGTTCAGGCTAAGAGCCATTAAACACAATTACTACCGCAGGGTAAAAGTTTAATTGTGCTAAATTTTAAATCTGCATAGTCTATGCTTATTTACAAGCTGGCTAGCTCTTCCTGTTACATAAGGGGGAATAAATCTGTACTTAAAAATTGTTGCGTCTCAAAGGGAGATGAAAAAAATGGGGGTTTTAGGAGCAAAGGACCTCCAAACTGAAGCCTTTCTGTATTTCCAGCTTCTTTTATGCCAATGGCTCCAAGCTGGTAAGTAGATGCTGAGCATCTTCTGATAGATTTTTTTCTAATGCGCTTCAACTTTGTGTGCGTGAATGTGCGAGAGAGTATTGCATCTGTTATGAAGGTGTCTGGGGGACAGAAAGCAGATCAGTTTGTTCATGTGGGGTTATTTTAAATTGAACCACAGATGGGGCTTGGGGTGGGTGATTTTCCTCCTGTTCCTTGTCTTCTCTCTCCTCCAATAATGTTAAGCTCCCCACCTCAGAAAGTTTCAGCTCAAGTAGCTTCTGGGTGAGTAGGTATCAGAGGAGGCAGGTTTTTTACAGGCAAACAAAAAAGGCAAAAGTCTCTGTTCATTTTGCTTTTTCTTCCAGCAAACTAAAAAAAAAAATTATATTCACTGAGCTACAAGTTACAGCGTATTTTTAGAAGCATGGTGAATATACAGGCCTCTAAATCACTCCCTGAAAAGCAGATTAAAATTAGGAAGTGCTAGAATAAGTGTGAAATGTTCATCTGTTTGGAAAGGGAAGGTATGGAGGACTGTGAAACTTGATAGAAGAGAAGAAGATTAGCATGCTGACTAGCTGGAAGCTACATTTATGTAGACATTAGAAGGCAACAGGATTTCAGCTGGACAGAACATAAGCTTCAGATCTTATGCAAACAGTCAAAGCTGTTTAACAATTGGTTTACCCCCAAAACCCCTGAAAGGAGACAGGTGAATACGATGCCAAATACATTTTTCATGTTTCTTAAGCTAACTGTTTAAATAGTTAAGTGAACATCTGTCCAAATTTCCCCATCATTTCCATTTAGAAAAGTCTCCTATTTGAAGGCTGAAGAAAAGCGCCTGCTTAACAATGCAAATGGTGCTGTCTGGGGCCCCTTTATTTTGTTTAATCTAGATTGAGCTCCACACAACTGTGATGCTAATGAATAATGGATATTTTATACTTGTGCGTGTAGCAGTGCTGGGCACAGAGCAAATGTAGGATTAACCTCCCGCTTTCCCTGTCTAACACGTATTGGACTCATTTTTTGAGTTTGCTGCGACTTGGTTTTATGCCTGGCTTTATGAAAAATGGCAAAAGCCAGGCAAAAGCTGTCAGGTTTTGCTACGTCCAAGTGAGGCACCGTAGAAGGGGGCAGCTACACTGGGGGAGGGAGGGATGTCTGTATTAATGGCCTGATTTGCGAGCGGGTGCTGAATGAGAGCCAGGGCGTTTCAGGGTGGAGACCTGTACGCTTTTCAGTGCCGCATTTTTTCAGTCCGGTCTGCTGGCGTTAGGCAGCCTAGCACCGCGCTCAGCTGCCGTCCCTGCCTGCCTCCTGCCAGAGCAGGAGCAAGCTGGAGTCAGCTTGCCTGGAGAAAGGGGCTGCCCTGTTACCGATTACATGGCCTGCGTTTGCCAGTGCAAGCTACAGAGCTGGGGTTTCACTCCACCTTTCAGCCCTGGATCCTAGGGAAGGAAGTTTGGTACTCCCATTGAGACTTTTCTGTCCTGCCCCATTATAGCACAAGTCTTTCCGTTTGGTTTGCATTATTTAACTTTCAGGGAAAACGTAGTGCTGTTTCTTCATAGGAAGTCTTGGAGTTTTCCTGACAGCCCTAAGGAAAGACTGCTGATAGCACTTCTAATGAAAAACAAGGGTAGCCTTTTTTTATACCTGAAGAGCAAGATGACTTTGGTAGCACAGCACTGTGGGAGGGTGAGAGAGTTGTGTGGAGGTTTCTGTAACATTGCTGGGTGTTTTAATTCACAATTACTGGCCAGTAATAATTAGTATTGATTAGCTTGGCAAATTACAGGTTTGGAAATTGGTTATGGATTTTACCGATGCTTCTCGTCTGCCTGTTGTGGAATCAGCGAGAACCAATGGCTTGAAACAAACCACAAGCCCAAATCTCTCTGCAGGCAGTGACGCGTTGCACGCGCAGAGCTAACGGTCAGCGGCAATCGTACGTCTTGAGGCTCATCGCCCCAAGAACATGATTTTTAACATCTAAGCAAAGTAACTAACCACACACGTATTGACCACAGTCCAGGGTGAAACTTGGTTTTGTTGGCCTGTTGATTCATGCCTCGGCTGGTTCGTGTGGCTTTAACGTCGCAGTGGCCTGCTGGCCCTGGCATGTGCAGGGGCCTGCGGGGACACCTTGGAGAAGGGGGCTGGGGCACGGATGCTGCAGTCTTGGTTGAGTCCCCCGGCGGGAGCTGTAACAGCAGCAGACATCTGGGGAGACAGATAGTGAAAGCCAAGATGAAAATGGCAAAGCTTCCAGTGCTGAAGGGCTGTCCTCAAGGACCGAGGAGCTGAAGTGGAACGGCTGAGCATGCTGTTCAGGCCTTGGTGGAAGGGCTTAGCTGGCTCCCAGGAGGGACATGGAGGCAGGAGGAGGGGGGCACAGCCAGGGAGGAGGGCTCGCTCTCCAAGATGCCTTGCAAAATGCGGTTATACTCATTGCGAGAGAAATTGTGCTTTTTCGTTTTAAACAGCAGGTAAGCGAGGTTGCTCCTGAGCTGTATGATAGCATTGCCTGCCAGGCTTGGCAAAGTCTGCTGGTCTTCGGCGTCTCGCTGCGAGAGGCTGCCAGCCTGCCTCCCTCTGTTGGGTCATGGCCAAGCGCAGACGGGGCGAGCGCACGTGGAGGAGGGCGGGCAGCTCCGAGCACCTACCCCACCCCTGCAGAGAGGAACATAGTTTTTGACTGAAATTTTGTGGGCCCCAAAATAGTGCTCTAAGTGTTTAATGCTTTTCTTCATTAGACAGCAAATTAGCCCTAGGCTTGCAAACCAAATGAAGTTTCAACTCGGCGATCGGAGCCTGCTCACCAGGCAGTTTTATCCCAAGTTCCCGCGCACTGGTTGGTCAGCGAAATGGAGACTGCAACTTCTATTTATTGGTGCAATACAGTATTTGATACTGCTAATTACACTTAATTAGTCCTTCTACCATTTAATTAAAATGGCTTCTAATGACTGTGCTTCTTTGGCAGGCTCTTTGGTACCACCGGGAATTGTGCTGCCTGCAGTAAACTGATCCCTGCCTTTGAGATGGTGATGAGGGCCAGAGATAATGTTTACCATTTGGACTGCTTTGCCTGTCAGCTCTGCAACCAGCGGTGAGGACACAGTTATTATACACACAAACACAAACTGATTTATACCTTTGCCTGCAAAACAGGGGAATGTTTGATCCACGCTGCCTGTCTGGGGCTCACAGCCTGCTGGCTTGACCTGGGTTGGTTTATTAGGCTGACCTGGGTGATGCATGTAAGTACCTGTAGCCCCTTTACTGCAAATCCCCTTGGAGCTGGTGGGAGTTAGGGGGGGTGAGGGGGGCACGCAGACGGCAGATCTGGCCATGGTTGTACGTGGCACAGCTGCTGCTGAATAGAACAAACCGCTTCAGCGTCCTTTCAGGATCTACCCTCTTTGCAGAACACAGACGATGGAGACCGGACCTCCTCTGGCAAACCGGTGTTATTTTGATTAAATCAGGTTTCCGACAGACTCAAAACTGGGGATGGCAAGGAAGAAAGAGAAAGGAAAGAGAAAAATATTCTAGATAAGCCCTTTCCAACACTAGGAACAAATCCCTTTAGTCGTTGTGTAATTAATAGGGGATCTTGGTGGTGTAATTTTGAGTAGGGCTTGTGTATTTTTGCTGGGTTTTACCCAGTGGAAAATGCACATCAAGCAGTAAAATAAAGGGCCATGCACAAAGTTTTCCCTTGGACTACCTGTAGCCAGCTGAATTTGAGAGGGCTGTGAAAAATCTTCCCAGCGCCTTGTTTGTTGGTAGTTGTAGGCAGAAAGGAAGCCCACAGAGCCAGAAGTAGTACAGCATCGCCTTCTGATGCATCCACCCATCCTTGTCCAAGGCAGGCCTGAAAGTGGTTTTTTTTCTTACAGCTTGTTTAGTCAGGCTGTAGTGACTGCTCAGGGCCGAAGGACTGCATGTGCTGGACTTGGGGTTGTGTTTCCCAGAGTTGAAGCTGGGAGGTGGTGCTTTCTCCCACGTGAAGGTGTGAGAGTGATGACAAAACTTGTGGGCAGAGGGAGAACCTAATTCTGTAAAAGTCAAGCTAAAAGCCTGACTTAAAAATTCATTGCTCACCCTAGAACAAAGGTCATGGTGGGATCTCTAAGTAGCCGTACACGGCGTGTGTGTGGACGCAAAACCCTGCCACCATTCCCTCTGAACTTTGGAGGCCATGTGAACTGAGGCCTGATGCTCCTTCCCTGCCCTCTTGACAGTGGCTTCGGGGATGCATGGGG